ACAAATAGCATTCCATAGTAAGTTTACGTAATGGTAGATTTTATCCCCAAGCTCTTAGTCTGCTGTATGCATTAAGCATGTTGTGTAGCATGTTATGTATTCTGAATAAGGTAAACATATTGATTAAAGTTCTAATCTTATGTAAGGTGGTGGAGCTTTCTCTGCTCTCTCTGTTATTACTTTTATGACATGAGCTTCTAAAAAAAATCAAAATTTATCTATTTTATAGTCTGTACAGTAAACCTCCATAGTTACCCCCTCCCTGTGTTGACCATCTCATTAAGTTGACCTAATCTTCATAGACAGGTCATGCACCACACGTATCTATCAGTAGAGGAGCCCTGATTCCTTATGTTGATCCTCTCTATATGTCAATAGCTTATTACAGTTCCTTGGATACTCAATTTACCAAGATTCCACTGTATTTATACTTTGACACCAATTAATCTTTGTTCAAAGAGTATTACCTACAAAAGAAAAGTTAGGAAGCTTTAGCAAGAATATACATAGCAAAAAATATTTGAAAAGTCTATGTATTGCTACTAGCACTTAGTCAAGTTAAATTCCCAAGTCATTTTTTTTCTGAAATGTATTGTATCGATCAGCAGTAGGGTATAAAATAAACTAAATCACATTTCACATCTCCTTCAATGGTGTTTTTGAAATTCTGAGTAATGACCCAGGTTGAGCCATTAATGCAAATCCTCAAAACTTAAGTAGTTTCTTGATACTTTTCATTTTGAGGCATCTTTCAAAGAAACAACAGATGCCTCTCCACATGCATTCAAAAAAAATCAATAAAATTAATCAATAACACTCTCCACAGGTAATAAATGCTCAGAAGCATTTCTGCCTATCTATATTGATCGAGAGAATTGCTTCAAATAGGTTCTGATGTGTATAAAAATCATTTCCTTATTGATCAAAGCTCTCTTCCCCTCTCTGATATGTTGTTTCATATATATCTTACAACTGTTTTCATCTCCATTCTTATATATTTGTGATAAATAAATTCTTGTGGTCTGTGTGTGACATTTGAATGAAACATCAAATGGGTGTTTTTTGTTTCTTTGGGGGAGCGTATTGCTGAGAAGTTGACCAAATCATGACTAATCATGAGAACTTACTGAAATTATTTTAATGAAAAATATAATGACGTATTTCATTCACATTTATTTATAATAAGCTTAAAAGTTTTATGTTGGCTTCTATATCTCAGGATGGAACTCCATTCACGTAGACGCATATATCTAATCCAGAACGACACTATTACTGATGAAATAAATAATAGACAAGTGAATAGTTGTAGTCAATTTCTGACTCAATGTTGCTGGAAAATTATATTTTTGTAACATTTTTGTAACATACTAGTGAACTTTGTAATCTTTTTGCTGGTGTATGTGTCCAACATATAGACATAAGGTAATAAGAAAAGTACATATTCCACATTTTCTAAACAAAAAAATTAAAATTTGAAGACATCACATTTAATAAGGACTAAATTCCATTGAACCAACCAATGTACATATTCACAGCACCTGATAGCTAGAGCCTCATTGGGGAAATCCTACTAGATAAATCAAAGAGTTTTCCAAAGATGCTCAACTCCTTACTCTTGGTACATTAACTAGTGCTGTGAATTATTCCTTTAATCAAAGATTCTTGTTAGCATGATTTTGTAGATGTCGTAACTAACACCACCTATTTTCCTAATTTGGGTGTTCCATTACAAAAGGACATCATTTTGGACCAAAAATACACTACCCTGGTCAGTGCTGCTAAACCACTATCTTCTTAAAACTTGGCTTTATTAAAAATTATCAGGCATCTCAGTGACCTTCATTTGGAAGTTCAGAGAATAGAAATTGTCATATTGATGATTAATTGTATTCAAAAATGTTATTTGGGTACAGCCAATGGGATGTTTATCAATGATAAAGGCATAAGCATCAGAGTGATAATAGATTCTGTTTTTTTTCTCCTATGTCAAAAATAAAATGATAATTTTTATAACCTTTTAATATAAAATACTCACCTGGAGATATGGAGGTATCTTTTCTACTCACTAAGGTGCCATGGAATCCTGGATACATTGGATGGGCTCCTGGAGCTCTGAAAAATTAATATCCTCACTCTCAACAAACAAATCTGTCTGACAGTCAGATTCTTAGAGTCAATACATGCCATTAGGGGACCATGGAAATGAAATTTCTGAAATATTTCCTATATTTAAATATATTTTAGTATTCTTGGAAGCAAGAATATATTCAACTGGAAACCAGCGCTGCATACCCAAGAGTCATGTTGTGTTTTAATGAGGGCAGCTTAATCAAAGAGGGAGAAATGTCACAGAGCAAGTCAAAAAATGTTCATTCAGAGGCATGAGGACATTCCAGAGAGGGTACGAGCATGAGCTTTGGAGCCACATGGAGCTCAAATCCTGACTTCGGTACTTACAGGCTATATGGCTTTGGAGAAATTGGCTTTCCACTCTCTAAACATTCCTCCACTATTGAACAGGGTGTATGCTAGAACTGTATAATAAAAATATAATCTGAATCACATATGTAATATTAATTTTTCTAGTAGCCTCATTTTTGAAGAATAGGTAAAATCAATATATTTATATGAACATGTAAATTTAAAACATATACTAAAATCTACTTTACTTAATATTACAAAAAATTATCATCGCAACATTTAATCAGTATAAAAATTAATTGTCTTTGAATTCCATGAGTATTTTGCAATTACAGCACAGAGTAATGTAATTGAAAAAAAAAAAACATGCCTTAGGAATTCATAGAGGTAGATTTAAAAGTAAAGAAATTGTAACAAAAACAATCACTTTGGAGCCATTTCAGAGGTCCTGACATCTAAAGGAAGGACCTTAACTGACATATTGTGGATATAAAGTTGGAAATAAATGGGTGGATTATAGATAATTAAATAAAAATGGATAAAACTTGGGTTCAGAGTAGAGAAAGAGAAAAAGTTTGGAGTTTGGAAAACAGAGGGAATAGTATTCATAATAGATACTGGAGACCCAGGGAGGTAATTTGACTGGAGATATGGTAAGGGACAGAAAGTGAGCTTTTTTAGTTATCAAATACAGTTTTTAGTACATACTGTGATATGTGTTATGATGTGTGTATTTAATGACTTCTGCAAGAACAGAAATGTTTTGGTTTCAGATATTCAGAAAGTAGAATCAAATGAATAAGACAATTATGAGATTAACATGAGCATTAAATTTAAGAGCATATTTACCTAGGAAATTCAGTGGCATTCAGAGAGAAGCCCCCAGTTGTGACATTTATCTGAGTACTGATTTATGAAATTCCAAAGCCTTTAGTTGTGGTGAAATGACATTTACACTAGAATATTTATTGCAGCTCAATTCACAATTGCCAGGATATGGAATCAACCCAAGTGCACATCAACCCACAAATGGATTAACAAACTATGGTATATGTTACTATTCAGCCATAAGAAAAGATGGAGACTTTACATATTTAGTGTTTACTTGGTTGTAGTTGAAACACATTCTTCTTAGTAAAGTATGGGGGGGGATGGGAATATCCAATGTAGGGCTTGGTGCCTGTAGCTCAGCAGGTACGGTGCCAACCACATACACAGGAGCTGGCAGGTTTGAACCCAGCTCGGACCTGCCAAACAATGACAACAACAACAAAGTAGCCAGGCATTATGGTGGGCACCTGTAGTCCCAGCTACTTAGGAGGCTGAGGCAAGAGAATCACTTAAGCCCAAGAGTTTGAGGTTGCTGTGAGCTGTGACACTACAGCACTCTACTGAGGGTAACATAGTGAGACTCTGTCTCAAAAAAAAAAAAAAAAGTATCCATTGCACTCAATGCTAATATGAAACCAATACATAAGAAAACTACACACTAAATGAAAGAAAAGAAAAACACAAGTATATCTAGCAAGCGGTGGGCGGGGGAGAGGAGGAAGTGTGATTGGCAGGATCTCACCTAACGTGCACAGTGCGATGGTGTTCAGCACGCCCCCTGGGTGAAGGGCTCAGCTACAACTTGAACTTTAACCTGCACAGTGTGGTGGTGTTCAGCACGCCCCCTGGGTGAAGGACTCAGCTACAACTTGAACTTTTTAACCTGCACAGTGTGAGGGTGTTCAGCACGCCCCCTGGGTGAAGGGCTCAGCTACAACTTGAACTTTAACCTGCACAGTGTGAGGGTGTTCA